TTTGGCTGAGGCTGGCCTCCACTTTGCGATCCTCCTGCCTCGGCCTCCCCAGCCCCCCTTGGGAGGACAGGCACATTCAGTCGCACCCTGCTCAGACCCCGGGGGCTGAAACCAACTTGAAATATCCCCTGAAGGCAGCGAATCAGGTCCCCACCCCTGGGGACAGTGCCACCCCCCGGGTGGCTACGTACCTGACTATCCAGTCCAAGCAAGAGAAGCATAATAAAGAAAAGAATCGACCAAAAGGTGGGGAGCGGCATCATGGTCACAGCTTTGGGGTACGCAATGAAGGCCAAGCCAGGACCTACAAGGGAGAGAGAAAACGGGGAGGGAGGGGACACAAGGTAGGGGACGCGTCAGTGACCAGGCCGCTCGGCACCCCGGGCCTCACCGCAAAGACTCTCGGATCTGAGGTGGGCCTCCCAAACCCAAGACCCGGGGAGGAGCCGGGTCTGTCACCTGGGGAGAGACACCAGGCCTGTCTCGCTTGGGGTGGGTGGGGGGACGCACCGGGGCATCTGTCTCTTATGCAGCAAGAGTGGCCTCCAAGATCGGCCTCCAAGAGTGGCCTCCAAGAGTGGCCTCCAAGAGTGGCCTCCAAGAGTGGCCTCCAAGATTGGCCTCTGCAGAGGCCCAGAACCGTGCGGACTCGGGGTTGGAGGACCGAGGCCCAGGGAGTCAGGAGAAGTGGGGGACCCCGCCACCTCTCCCCGGCCACCTGGGCTGGGAAGTCCTGGTGGTCTGACCACCGGAGGCCTCCTGGTTTGCAAACAGAAGGTCTCTACACCTCTCTGTGCACTCCCACGAGGCGCGCTGGGCCACCCAGGGCCCAGCCCCACGGGGACAGGCACCCTCCAGGCTCGGGAGACGGACGGCCACGTTCAGACGCCCAGCACTTCCTGTCTGTACCTCCCCCCAGGACCTTGGAGGGCCTCACCTAAAAGTGAGGGGACAGGTCACCCCCAAGGGCGTCTGTCCAGATGCTCAGAGGCAGAGACCATGTCCCCCCCAACACACACACACACACAAATAAAGAGCTCTCGGTTTCAAATGAGTGGATTTGGCTGCAGGGGGTGGGCACAGGAGTGTGGTCAGCTCCCTGGGCAGCCGGTGGCTGGGATGATTCTGGAAATAGAAAGGTCTCCTCCTCCTGCCTCCGAAAGGGGACAACGAATGGTTTTCAAAGCAAACATTATGCGCCAAAGGAATGCTCTGAGGATGGGAGGGCCGGGCGCGGGGCACACGCCAGTCATCCCACAGGAGGCTGAGGCAGGAGGATCTCGAGTTCCAAGCCAGCCTCGGCCAAAGCGAGGCCCTAAGCCACTCAGCGAGACCCTGTCTCTCAATAAAATGCAAAATAGGGCTGGGGACGGGGCTCCGTGGTGGAGGGCCCCTGGGTTCCATCCCTGGTACCAAAAAATGTCCCCACTATAGTGCTAACAACCCCAAAGGAGGCAGAGGGGGGCGGCCTCTTCAGAAGGAGGAGTCGACTCAGCCAGACCCAAATAATGGCCTTGGCCTTGTCCAGTGGCTGCTTAGGGTGACCCTAAGTGGCCTAAGGGGCTCCTTTCAAGCCTGAAGGCTACTTGAATGGACCACACCGAGTGTGGACGGCTGAGAACTGGATTCAGAGAAAATAGGCTTCCCGCCCAGGACAAGCTTGGAATCGAGGTCAGGGTTAAAACAGGGCATCTGCAGCCGGGTCCACCAAGGAGGCCAGAGGAGGGGAGCACCGTGGTCCCCCTAATGCCACAGCAGTGAGGAGTTGGGCTGGGGGGCAGTGGCGCACGCCTGCAACCCCAGTGGCTCGGGAGGCTGAGGCAGGAGGCTCTCAAATTAGAGGCCAGTCTCAGCGACTTAGCAACTCAGTGAGTCCGTGTCTCTAAATAACATATAAAAAGGGCTGGGGAGGGGGGCTCCGTGGTGAAGCACCCCTGGATTCAATCCCTGGTACCCCCTCCCCCCAAAAAAATTGAGGACTTTGGTCCAGTCAATTGGGAGACAGATGTAAAATGGGACTCCCTCCCCAGCCTCCGGCCAGGGCCTCCCAAAGCTGCTCAATTTTTCTCTGTGTCTGGATTTTAATTCTGCTTTTCTCAAAACCAGGCTCTGGGAGAGGGTCCCCCCCAAAGTCTTTCCCTGAGAGCTGATGGTGACCTTGGGGGGATGAGCCAGGCTGTGTCCCCCGCGCCCAGCGCTCCCATCTGGCTACTCAATTATCTCATCTAAATACACTGCGGCTCAACGTGGTGCCCGTTAACAGCTCATTAGAGAAATAATCGCTCTGGAGGTTACCGGCGGCTCCTGGCCATCCCCACGGGGAATGAATGACCAGATGTCCGACGTGGACACAGTGGAGAGTTCGGAAACGACTCAGGATGCCCAGAGACGGGTATGCCAAAGCGCCCGGCCGTCCACAGAGAAAGTTCTGGATCACAGAGAGAGTCCTCTGCGTTTTCCACCACACCAAGACCCAGGCCCTGCCCTGGCCATGTCCATCCACCCCCGGGGCTCTGCAAAAGCCCCCACCACCTATGGGCAAAGCGGGGTCCCCCTCAACACGCCCGGCTGGCCATGGAAATTTCTAGAAGCATTTTGGGAGTCCTCCGTCTGTCCTCTGGGGACTGTCTCTGAGGGTCTGATTAGGGAGGAGGGGAAGAGAGGCCTGTAGGGGGCCGGGGGCTGGGTTCTCCGGGTGGTTCTGCAGCTTTGGGAGGGGACGGGGGTGTCCCAAGGAGGAGACCTGGCAGGGGACAGGGGACAGGGGACTCCAGGAGGTCGGAGGAGCCCAGGTAAATGCTCACACCTGAAAGGCCAGAGATTGTCACAGGTGTCCCAGGCCCGGATGGGGGGGGCAGAAGAGGGACACAGTGATTGGGGGGGGAGGTTATCCAGCAGGTGGAGCCTGGGGTTATGGAGGGACAGGGCGGGGGGCCAGGACACCCCCTGTTCTGGCTCTCACCCACCCAGAGTGACCGCTGGCCTCCACCTCGGAAATGCCCGGATGTTCAATGCCAAAGTGGCCCCTGGGACCCCAGAAGGGGGAGGGGCACCGCCTTGCATTTCAAATGCATGACGTTGGAAGAGGTCAAGGTCAAGGTCAAGGTCAAGGTCAAGAGAACAGCCCGCCCCTGGTCTGCCCCGGTAGGCTCCAAAGGGACCTTAGTCCCGGACCCTCACCTGGGTCCAGGCGACCCCAGAGCGGTTGTGACAGACGTCAGTAAGTCAGGTGGGGGTCTCAGCGGTGACAACCCCACCCACCCTTCCAGACAAGGGACAAGGACCCTCCTGAGGGGCCCGGGCAGGACCGACAAGGGCCCAAGAAGCCAGGAAAAGAAGAGTTTGGGGACCTCGGGAGCCTTGTCATGTAAAGCCACTGTCGTCTGCAAGTGCCAAGCCCGGGACATGAGCAGCGGTAACCGCGTCCTGGAACCCAGGTCCCTGAGACACTGGGTTGAGGGTCTACACCGGGGGCCACGGGAGCGCCCACCATTGCCAGGCGACACGACAGGGTTCCAGGTCCCCCAGGTCCCCGACCCCACAGAGGGCTCAGGGTTGGGACACGGAGCAGGCATCGCCTGTGACGCCACGTGTCCCCAGGAGGCGGGGGACACTGCGCTTCCCACCTTCCCACGGCCGGGGGCGGGGCGCCTTCCACTCCCTCTGGCCCCGCCCTGTCGGCCCCCCCTCGGGGATTTGATTGGCCCCCGGGGAATTTGATTGACGGATGGAGGAACTGGAGGTTTGATGGACAGATGGAGGGAGACGCATGCGCACTGAGAGCCAAGGGCCAAACCCCGTCACCCACCCAGGGTGGGGGAAGGTGGCGATGCCATGATGCCATGGCGACGGGGTGGTTTCTGTCCCTGAAACCGGGAATGGGCTGCAAAAGGGCGGACACACCACGTCGCCTGTCCCCAAATGTCACCGCCTCCCCATCGCATTCCTGCTGCCCCAGTTGCAATGACAATTTTGATTTTCCAAGGCCGCTCCTCCTGGGCTCTGTGACAATCCGTGTGTGTGGGGGGGTACTTCTTGGTGGGGGGGGGAGGTCTATTTTGGAAATCAGGCTCATTCCCCCCCCATCCCCCCTGGGGGGGGTCTGGCTTCATGCCTGCAGTACTCGGCTTAAACACTAGGTGGCAGTGCCCACCACCACTGCCACCGAGGCTACCGTACCTGACTCAGCCACATCAGCAATGTCCACCCCTTGCTCTTGTGCCATGAAGCCCAGGATGGAAAAAATTGCGAAGCCAGACACAAAACTGGTACCACTGTTCAGGCATCCCAGCAGCATACAGTCCCTAAGTTACACATATGTCAGGGAGCAAGTTAATTCACGACACATGGAAGCCAGGCTTCCTACTCAACTTTGTTTCTTTTTTCTTTTTCTTTTTCTTTTAAACATGATCATTTCTAGTGTCCACCAGGCCCGCCGGCGCGACACTTGCCTGTACGAGTTGTACTTGTACTTGTTGTAGCTCCCCAGAGAGGTCATGGCCCCCAGGCAGATGGCGTAGGAGAAGAAGATTTGGGTCCCAGCGTCGATCCACACCTTGGAAGGGTGACGGACGGGGAGGTGGCAGAGAGAAAGAGAGAGAGAAGGAGCTGTCCATCATTGGTGGCCTGGAGGAGAAGGGGCAGGGGCCTGTCCACCAGGTGATGAGCCTCCGGGGGGGACTTTGAGGTATACAGATGAGCTGGGGGGTGGGGAGGCTGAGGCAGGAGGATTGAAAGTTGGAGGCCGGCCTCAGCCCTTTCAGCAAGGTCTTCAGCAACAGAAGCAACACGGGTCCCCAGATAAATGCAAATGGGTTTTAAAAAGGGCCGAGAGGTTAGGAGCTTCCATCCCCAGGAGCCAATAATAATAATCATAACAGGGAAGAGGTCGGTCGGTGGACCCGCGGCTCCCATGGTGACAGCCATGGTTAATGGATCACAGGCAAAAGCCGTTTTCCAGAACCTTCGACAAGCACCAGCTTCTCGCTGTCCTTGGAACCTGGCCAAGTCCCCGCCTCCCTCCCAGAGCTTAGACCTGACCCCCAGGAAGGTGACCAGGGAGCTGAGCTCTGGGGACAAAAGGTCGACCACTAACCCTCCTCCTCCTCCCTGAGTCCCGAGGCCGGGCTGGGGGGGGGTGGCTCTCAGGACCTGCCCCTGGACCTCCCAGGAGGCCACTAACTGTGCAGTGTGAGGTCACCCAGGGTGGCCTGCAGCAGTCCCAGCCCTGGGGCAGAAGCGGGTCCAGCGCTGCTAAGGTCTGTCCCTGTCCTGGCCCAGTGCCCCAGGCAGACTCCAGAACTGGCCTCCTGGGGAGTCCTGGGCCGGATCAGAGAGGCCCCAGGCAAGGCACCCTGTGCACAGCGCCCCAGCGGCGGTGGGGGACAGGGGCCCTGGTTACCTGCGGATCCTCCAGGCGGGTTATGTCAGGGTACAGGTAGAACTTGATGCCCTCCCCCGCGCCGGGCAGGGTCAGCCCGCGGACCAGCAGCACCAACAGCATGGCGAAGGGGAAGGTGGCGGTGAAGTAGACAACCTGCGAGGGGGGACCACAGGGACCGTGAGCGTCCCGCCCCGTCCTCCCCTCTCCAAGGGGAAGGAGGAATCAGGAAAGCAGAGACCTCTACCAGAGCCAGGCTGTGCAATCTCACAAGTGCTGTGTGACCTTGGACAAGTCGCTTAACTTCTCTGAACCTGTCGCTTCAAACTAAAACCTGAGCATGATCCGATGATTCTTCTGGTCTAAGTCCAGAATATGGTGGGGGGACAAAGGAGAGCACAAATTCCTCTCTGCCACTCACGGAGGGAGATTTTCGAGCCAGGCACGGTGGTGGTGCCCGCCTGTCATCCCAGCAGCTGGGGAGGCTGAGGCAGGAGGATCGGGAGTTGGAGGCCAGCCTCTGCAATTTGTCTCTCAATTCAAAAAATAAAAAAAAAAGGGGCTGGGGACGGGGCTCCGTGGTGAGGCGCCCCTGGGTTCAGTCCCCAGGGCCAACTCTGTCACCTGCTCCCTGAATCTCACTCTTCTTCCAGGGCCTCAGGACCTGTCCCCACCCCCCCACACCCTACCCCTGACCTTTATTTCTTTTCTTTGAGGCTAAAAATTCTCACAACTTTCCAAGAACGGAGGGGGAGGGCGGGCCAGGAAGCCCCAGAGGAGTCAAGAAAGTCAGCCCGACTGTCCCTCCCTTCCTGCAGACAGACGGTCAGGAGCCCCTGGCCAACTCCCCCCTCTGGGGGGCCCCTGGGTGGGCCACGCCTCAGTGGGTGAACAATAGCCGCAGACAGCAGCTCCGCGGGGGTCCCCCCTGGGGGCTCCCACTTCAAAGCGGCCACGGGCTGTGCCCAGAGCCAGTGTCGTGGGGGGCCATTTCCCCTGTTGGGGGGCGGATTTCACTTATTATTTCACGGTTTGTACCATTAACTCATTTAACTCCCAGAGCAGGTTTGGCAAGAGCTGGGGACCTTGCTACCTGCATCTTCCAGATGAGAAAGATGGGAACAGAGAGCGGAGGTCACCCTCACGGGGGCCTGAGTCAGCAGGGGTCAGAGGTGGGGACTTTCTTTGGGTCTCAGTAAATGGTGGAGGCTTGGCCTCCAAACTCCCGGTCCTCCTGCCTCAGCCTCCGGAGAGACGATGGAATCCCAGACACGAGCCACTGTGCCCAGCGTTGGAGGTGGTGGGATTTGATCTAGGTCAACGACTTCCAGGGTCCCTGCATCTTTTTTTTGGGGGGGGGCGGGGTGTGGTTGCTATTCACCCCCCAAAACCCGGCGGGGTCACACGGCTTCGGTGCCTCTAAAGACAGCCTCCCTTGTTTTGCAGATTTTGCTGCGGGGATGAGCCCCTGAGAGTGTCTCTCCATATTTCCGTGACTCCTCCGGGGATCCTCCAGGGAGAAGCTGGTGCCAGACGCCACCCGCGGGGGCCTCTGGCGGTGGCCCGGCAGAACGCGTGGCAGGACGCGGTACTTTTCCGCTCCGCCTGGTGAAACTCCCTGGTGCCTCTGAGAGCCCTCGGCCCCCAGAGCCCTGGGGACTTAGAGGGACGGGCTTTTCCCCGTTCCCCGGCAGGGACAGGCCCAGCCTGAACCCTGTTTACTGTCCACTGACAAGCTGTGTGACATCGGGCAAGTGTCTTAACCTCTCTGGACCCTGCGATTCCCCATGGATTAAAATGGGGCCACTGACGCCCTGCGCATCGTGAGGATCAACGAGCTACGGAGGTCCACGTGTCCTTTGGGGCATCCGTGACCACAGTCACTAGCCCTTGAATGACGTAGGCCACGGCGTCTTCCGGGATATCTCAGACCCTTGGAGTTGTGAGAATCATAGAGATAGACATGGCCAGTCGGGCGCGGGGGTGGCCCACGCCTGTCATCTCAGCGGCTGGGGAGGCTGAGGCAGGAGGATCGCAAGTGGGAGGCCAGCCTCAGCCAAAGTGAGGCCCTGAGCCACTCGGGGAGACCCCTGTGTCTCAATAAAATGCAAAACTGGGCTCAGGGGTCGAGGGCCCCCAAGTTCAATCCCTGGTGACCCCCCAATCCCCCCCCAAAAAACAGAAAGTCAGTAAGTGACTTGAGCGGAGGCCTGAGCCTCTCGGGTCTGGTCTCTCCTGCCCTCTACCTCCCCGTCCCTTCCCAGGGGACCCAGGTCACCGTGAAGGCAGCCTTGGCCAGGAAGAGACCCGTCGGCCGCCTGTGGGCCCAGCCCCCGGGGCAGTGGCCGTGACTTGGTCTCTGGCCAGGGCTGGGAGCCATGGCCGGCGGGCGGGCGGGTGGCCGTCCTCTGGGCCACCGAGCTCCAGGAAGTCCCCAGAGCTGTTTGTCTTGGCTGCTCTGGGCTGACCCAGGCCCTGCCATTGTTCTGGGAACCGCGCCCACCCCCAGAGGAGGCCGAGGCTGAGGGTGGGGTGGGGGGAGACCGCGGGTGAGTCACGTCTCCGCACGGCCACCGCTGTGACCTGGCACCCGCTGGCTTGGCGTCCGTTCTACTCTGCGTGTGGCCCTGCGACTCACGGGTCGGTCACGGTGTCTGGTGGACGCCAGCCTCCTCCATTGGCCTGGATGGGACCTACCCCGGGGCCTTTGCACGGACGGGCTAGTCCTGTCTCCCTGGGAATTTTTCCCCTTGGGTCTCTCCAAGTCACCTCCTGGTTGAACCTTGCCTCGGGAGGCCGAGGCAGGAGGATCAAAAGTTGGAGGCCAGCCTCAGCCATTTAGCGAGGCCCTGAGCAACTCAGGGCGACCCTGTGTCTAAATGAGATCTAAAAAGGGCTGGGGACGGGGCTCAGGGGCGGAGCAGCCGTGGGTTCCATCCCTGGGACCAAACAGAGAGAGAGTGCTCTTGGGGACACTAGGAACCCGGGCTCTTCCTCTCTGGCTCTCTGCCTCCTCCATCACCCCCACCGTGACGTGCCTCGCCACCGGCCCCGGTCACCACCCCCTGCAGATCCTGAGCCAACTTGGGCCTCCCCTCCTTTATGTTTTGGGGGAGCCCAGGAGCCCAGGGCTTCTCGGACCAAATCGTGCATTTGCATCCAAATCTGGGGTGACGCTGCAGGTGGCCTCCGACCCCGTAGGTCTGGGGCAGGTCCCCAGCCCTCCGTCTCCTCCGAGCTCCTGGGGACCCCTTGATGCTGCCCGTCAGGTCAAAAGCGCCACAACCTGTGCACCGAGGGCTGGTTACGAGGAACACAGCTGCCGCCGGGCGCGGTGGCCCACGGCTGTCGCCCCTGCACCTCGGGAGGCCGAGGCAGGAGGATGGTGAGCTCAAAGCCAGCCTCAGCAGCGCAGCGAGACCCTGTCTCTAAATTTAAAAATTGAAAATAAAAAAAAGGGGCTGGCGCTGGGGGCTCAGGGGTGAGGCGTCCCTGGGTTCCATCCCCAGTAACAAAAAATAAAAATGAAATTAAAACAACACAGTTGCCAGAGAGGCTTTCTCTGTTCCCAGCTGATATTACTCACAGCTCTGATATTAATTGACCGCCAACACCTGCATCTACGGCCAACACCTGCATCTACAGGTAACACCTGCATCTACAG